CCCACGCCCCTCTGAGAGATATTTGGTTAAAAAGAACACAATGGTGCTCTAGGAGGAGATCCAGGTGATAAGGTGGGGGGGGTTACTTTGGTTGGTGATTGGCTAATGGTTACACAAGACAAAACATCGTTATGACATCATAAAGTGGCCAAAATCTGATCAGCTCATTTTCAGACAGGTTTTTATATAAATGGATCAGGACAAAAATAAATATTGTTTCCTGAAACTTTCAGAATTTCTTTACACAGAGGGGACACATATTTCTGTATAAAAGACAAGTGGATTTGGCATAATAGGTGACCTTTAAGTATTTTCACTGTGTGTATTATTGAAGTTAAAAGCAGACTTATCTCTATGTAACTGTGCTCCCAAGTTGGGAGTCCCAACCAAATAATAAATCATTCAAACCGCAATTTACAGTATGTGGTCTCTTGTTGTACTTGTGAGAGAATATAGTGTGTTACACTGTACTCCCTGATAGAATAACCGTTACAGGTTCACATCTTGTCTTTCACAATCACAGGACAATGATATTCCAGCAGCCACAGAGGAGTATTTGTGAGGATGGATTTCACTGCAGTGTTGGTCTGGCACAGCAGTAAAGCTTAGAGTAGGAAGGTTGGTTGCTCTGTGGATGAGAAGTTAACACCCTGAGAGACAGACTGCGTATGAGCACAGTTTTATGCTTTATGTGAGAGATACTGAGGCTGAAAACATGTTGGATGACTGAGGATGAGGAGGGGAACTCTGGATGAAGTCAGTGATGTGCTCAAACACCATTTATAACATTTGACACAGTAATAGATGGAAAAGAAATCTCCACTCAAGGTCCTCATACTAGCATTTAGACCTTGGGTTGAATGTGTTTATGCCAAACATAATCAAAAATAACAAGAAAAGGGAATAAAAAAAGGCCATTCAATGCAATATTTGCAGTATATGAAGACAATGATACATCTGTATTTTCACATAATTGTCTAGAAGAACTCATATTACAATTTAAAATATATTTCTCTAAAACAGATCAATAAATGTTGGTCCTGTACAAAATGCACAATCTGGGAATTATTTGTGACCATATATCAGACGATAAGCCACCATCTCCCTATTTGAATCAATATAGAAAAGAGGTTAAGATTGTTTATGTAATCAAATATTCATATTCAAAAATGTATAATACATATTTTAGTTTATAATAATAATAATGATAACTTTAATTTATATAGCGCCTTTCATTAACCCAAGGACGCTTAACAATGAACATATAACAAGACGTATACAAGACATAAAACAGGGGGCAGAAGTGGAAGTGTTACATTGCAGGGGGGGGGGATGAGTGAGTTAATGTTGGAATGCTTTGTTGAACAGATGAGTTTTCAGGGTTGATTTGAAGATGTTCAGAGAAGTGGCGTTACGGATTTCAGCAGGGAGGGAGATCCAGAGGGTGGGGGCAGCGACACTGAAGGCACGGTCCCCGAAGGTGCGGAGGCGTGAATGGGGAATGGAGAGCAGGCCGGAGTCTGAGGATCGAAGGGTGCGGGACCGGATGTAAGGGTGGAGGAGATCCGTGAGGTACTGAGGGGAGAGGGCATGTAGGGACTTGTAGGTGATGAGGAGGAGTTTGTAGGGTGATGCGGGACGTGACCGGGAGCCAGTGGAGGTTGAAGAGAGTGGGGGTGATGTGCTGCCAGGGCTTGGTGCGTGTGAGAACCCTGGCAGCTGAGTTCTGGATGTACTGGAGCCTGTCCAGGGTTTTGCTGGGAACCCCGGACAGGAGTCCGTTGCAATAGTCCAGGCGGGAGGTAATGAAACAGTGAATGAGCTTCTCTGCAACAGAGTCGGAGAGGGATGGCCGGAGTCTGGATATGTTTCTGAGGTGGAAGAAGGCTGATTTTGATACTGACTTGATGTGGTTCTAAAATAAAAGGGTTGAATCCAATATAATCATATTATATCTATCATCTCTCTGCTTTTGAAATGGTCTGTGGTGCTGCTGAGGAAAATGATATTAGCATACATGTCAAACCAGCCCTTCAGGCATTATGATAACCTAGCCATAGAATAAATAAAGGAGGATGTCTCTACAGGAGGGAGGACACTGATTTATGCAGTTGTCAATACAAGTCCATCCATCATTCAATCTACAATAACACCACGGTGTCGTCATTACCATGAAAACAGCAACTATCTGACCTTAGAGCAACAGATAATGATTGATTTCCTCACCCTTGTAAAATGAAAAGGGACCTTTCTTAAATATTAGCCACAATCCCAACTCTCCCTTCAACTGTCTCCAAGCCGAGAAGATCTCATCCTAACAGGTAATGACATCCTGAATCAATGTGTTGTGTCCAAGAACTGTAAGTGTGTGTGTGTGTGTGTGTGTGTGTGTGTGTGTGTGTGTGTGTGTGTGTGTGTGTGTGTGTGTGTGTGTGTGTGTGTGTGTGTGTGTGTGTGTGTGTGTGTGTGTGTGTGTGTGTGTGTGTGTGTGTGTGTGTGTGTGTGTGTGTCTGCTAACTGCAGGTGGTGCCTCTAATTGCTCTCATGAGGGTCTCTGGAGTGAACTTTAGTCGTCAGCAAAGGGGAAAGTGACATGTATTGATTAGAAAATCTGGGCTGGATCTTATTAAGGCTTTCCCCGAACAAAATGCCCTGCTCACATTTTTCCTCAGAAACTGAGACCCAGCCAAGCTAGCTAAGGTCTTTTCTCAGCGTCTACTGTGCTTCCTCCGGATGTTCCCGGGGAAGATATACTGCACTGCATAGTTCTCTACAAGTACACGGACAAAATATCTTTCAAAACTCCCTGCACAGAGCACACTTAACATGACAGAAATTCAAGAAAACCCTACTATTAAGGTAAAACACAGAGATACACAACTGGGAGACATCCTTGAAATGAATCAGCCATTTTTTCACATGACTTTTGTCACTTGTACTTAATTCTTTATCTTGGGAACAGTGGTTCAGTCTCACCACATTGTGAATTTAGTGGCTTTTATAGTGGCTTCGGTTGTCACAGAAATGATGTAATATGATTGAAAGCTTTAGAACAGCTACTAAATTGACCTTTTTGTAAGACAGCTAAGGTCAAGAATGAACTTAAAGGGCAACGTGGATGTGAAAAATGGAAATTTGAGCAATGAAAAAGGGGACAACTGCTTGAAGTCAGTGTGATACAATCGAAAGCCATAATAATAGACTATGTGAGCTGAAACCCTGAGACAGCAGATTCAAACAAATGAATATTTGTAACTGTATGATTTTGAAGGATACACCTGCATTTCCCACAGCTCCATCACCACAGCATCACTTAGCAAACTCTGCTGCATCATAACACAACACAGCTGCAACAATCAAAAAACTAATTCCCAATGATATTCATAATATGCCGCTGATATCTACAATACCAAGTATCTTGAGGTCTTGATCAAGCAGGTGTGCTAAATATGTGATACTACTTGACAAACACTTCTCTGCTATCTCATTGTCTGCCTCATTGGACAGTCCCTGACTTCATTAAACACATCAAAAGAGAATAGGAAGTGCCAGCAGATAACCCTGCTCTCAGATTTAGCATCCAGGATTACGGAGCGTCTGGGAAATTAAATGCTGAACCCTTTCACCCATGAAGGCTTTGTTATCCAATGCAGGTAGAGATATGGAATAAAGCAACAATGGACAGAAGGGTTAACTGTCGGCCTCATCAAGCAGAAGGCGACCGTGCGCTTCAAACAGGCCCCATTTCTCAAAACCAACTCCCTTTTTCTCCTGAGAACGCCAGGTCCCGCAGACACAAGCTGGGCTCCCACACCGCATACCAGAGCGTGCCACAGTGGAGCACCGAGCCTTCGTCTGTCCGTCATGAAATATTCAACACCCAGTGCAGACGGAAAAGCTGTGATGTCAGAGATTCCAGTTACGGTGTCCAGTTACGGTGTCCGGTTTCAGTGTGGTAAGAGGGGTGGGGGGCTTCACATGGTTCACTGCAGGGGCTACGTTTAAACACTTGTCCTGTTGTGTGAGTGCATTGTTTACCATGCCTATGAAAGGTTTATACTTAATAACCAGGGAATTAGGGCTGCTCTTTTTGAGCTGATTGGTCATTGTATCAGTAGATAATGTCGGGTTGATAGTCTGTTATATTAATAAACTATTCTTTAGTCATTGTCAGCAGGAGATTGCTCTGCATGCTGAAATGATTTGCAGAGGGGAAATAAAGAAATAATTTGACATATTTAATATATCAATTGAGTACTACTATTACTTTAAACCTGGACAGACACTGTAGGGATTAAACCACATTTTAACTTATTACGGACCTTGAATCGTTTTGTTATACATATATTTGTGGGGGAGGGGGCATCTCTTGCATTCAATTTTGGATTATATTGCTGTGGCAACTGTAGTCTTGATTGAGACGGTGCTGTGATGAAAATAAAACTTCACTTTCAGAACTGGCAATAGATATTATCTGCATTTTCTTGCCATCTGTAAATATTTGTCCATTTACAGTAGAACGACATCTTTTCGAATACATTTTACTGGAATTGTCAATAGTGTGAGTTGGTCTGTACAGTTTGAGCAGAGAGGTCATACATTCTCACCATGTAGAAGAAGACATCACAATTTTAGCAACACAACGTACAAGGAAGGCCACAAAGTAAGTGTAGGACTTCCCTACAAGAACACACTAACTGTGCACATAAAACCTTGGTAGAGAAACTTTGGGGCAGCTGATTTTAAGAAGAATGAGTCATCACATCACATAATGGTTTGGATTGTTTTTGTTTCACCCACTATCAATCCCACTTCCTGGCAGTTCCCTTCCACCCGTCTGTTTTTCTGTTCCATAAACGGCCTGTCAAGAGGACTGCACTGACATAACACTGCAACAGCCAAAATAACTTTCACCCCTCGGCTCAAGTTACATTAATTTAAAGTGCTTCTATCTTGAGAAACTATATCCATATGGATTCCTGATGAAGCCTGGGAATTACCTGCCGGCTGTCGCGCTGGGAAGAAGAAGAGGAGGAGGCGCTCTTGTGGACCGGCGTGGCGGTTTTGTGGACCGGCGTGAAGCTCCGGTCCTCAGAGCTCATGGTGCGGCCCTGGTTGCCTCGCTGGTAGTGCTGGAGGTGAGACATGATGGGCACCAGTTGGCTCTGCAGATCTCCCTCAGATCAAGAGCATCCTCTGACACTTCCTCACTGCTTGCTGTTCATCTGAAAAACAAAAAGGTCAGGAAGTCACAATCATCGCATCTACGCCTTCGTCATTCTCATGCAGTGCTGTTGTTTACACTGGCAGACACGAGCCACGCTGCCATTCATCAAACAACTCGTGGTCTAGTAGGTTTCTCCTTGTACAGAACTATCCGCCATCAATTGTTATTACCCACAGAAGCTCAGTCGAGACGCCCTGAGCTATTCTTTGAAGCATGGGGTTCAGAGATTCTCCTCATTTCATGTGCATTAGTGGATAAACCTTACTTTGTGTTTGCTATGAGATCGGTGCAGATCTTCCAAACTATGATAATACCTGATATATTGTAGTTATATGTTTAACAAATCAAGCAATACGTTATTAGTGTCATCTCAAACCTATATTGACCAATGCCTTACTTAGAGTAGAGTTGTTGTTTAACAGCAAATAAATTGGCCACTACTAAGAAATGTAAGTGCTTTTGTAAGTAGAATTAATGAAACTTTCTTTGATTCAACTTCTTAAATGGGAGAATTGGATGTTTTTTCTCAGTCTTACAGGACATCATAGTCAATTTAATATGTGTGGGTTTTTGACTGTTGCTCAATCAAAAAAGCTATTTGATCTATCAACATGTTCTGATGTTTTACAGACCAAACTTATAACATTTTAATTGGCAGATGAATGGATATTTTAAAAAGAAATAGCGGTTCCTACATCAATCTTTGTACAGGTACAAAACTCTGTTTACATCAGGAAATGTGAAAGATCTGTCGGTCCATTTGACTGTAGTCACCCTGCCTCCACTGCAGAACGTTCCCGCAGGACTGTGTCTGCAACATAAATCCTCAAACATCTAATCACAACTATGATAATGATGGTAATTAGATGAGGAAATAAATCGATAACGCATCTCCAGCTTACTGTTTAGTCACAAACCAGTGATAACCAGCATATTCTCACTACATGAGCCAATGCTTATCTATATTTGTGGTATATTTTGAGTAACTATACCAGGTCCAAAATGTCTGGTTAACCTTCTGTTCCGATAGCTACTGGGAGTGCTAGTTTTTGTCATCAGTCATGGGTCGGTGTTTCTCCATGCTGACACACATAATACTGCCTGCAGTGGTGCGGTGTAATTGTCTAAGCTCTCAGGAGGTCTTGGCGCTGATAAAATATACATCGATTGCAAGATAGAGGAAAACAAACAGATAAACAAAACCTGTTTGATTTAGAAACTGAGGCATTTGGTGAGATACTTAGGATACTATTGGACCTGCACAAGGACAAATAGCCCAATATTTTTGATGGAATACCTCAATGTTTATATTGACGCTGCTGGGGATAACATTCAGAAGATGTAGTGCAACACACCAGAACTGGTTGGGAAGAACATAAATATAATGTGGGTAATATAAACAAATGTTTATTGTTTATTTTCACAATGAACCTCAGCTCCACAATAAATCCTGTATGGTGGAAAGCATGTTGCAATAGTTTGCTTTATTAAGTGTTTAACCTGAATGTAGAATGTGTAGCCTGTGTGTAGCTATACTCTGCAATACAATATCATGCTATTATCCGGAACAATTTGTTGATTAAATTGAATTGAAAAATTGATAAATCACCAACTTATTTTAGGCTAATAATGCAAAAATATCCCCGGCTTTTTCTAAAGTGACATCAATATCTTTGGGTTTTGGAGTTCATTAAAGTCAAATAAAAAATCTCATTGGATGACATTACCTGGCTTAGGTCATACAGTAGGAATTTGTGAATTATACAGTATATTTGCTGTGTTTTATATTGTTCAAGATTAAAGGTGGGGTAGGTAAGTTTGAGAAACCGGCTCGAGATACATTTTTTGTTATATTCCATGGAATGCTCTTAACATCCCGATAGCAATGAATATCTTAAGTGCTTTGACAAAAAATCCATAAAAAAATGTCATCTGTGGAAGCCGTAATACTGTAAAAAGCACGACCAATCATTTTAGCCGGCCCGGCTAAAATAACTGGATGGCCTCCCTGCCTGTCAGCCTTCCATCTGTGCACAAACTTATCTCGTGCCCTCATTGGTCATGTGCGCGTTTGTGTGTGTTGGAGGAGGGGCTCTGTAAGGAAGTGGCAGATTTTTTCCGGCTGTGTATTTTCAAATTCTAGCACACTCAGCTGGTTTCTCCAAAATTACCTACCCCACCTTTAAGAAAATAATCAAAAACTATATTAAGGCACACAACTATTCTTAATTCTCCAAATCGGATGTAAATTCAACATAACATTTGACATTTTATTATATTTTTTATTACATTATTATTATTTCTGGTAATATTATGGCAACTATGCGACGGCAAAGACTAAATCTTACAGACTGACACGGACTGGAGCAGTGCAGGATAACATCAGGCAGCAATACACAGTGTGTGTTCCCAGGCAGTGTATACAGCTCTGGAGCTCCCTGTGGTTTCAACTACAGGATGCGTCTGTTCTTCTAGGCTCTCCCATTTGTCAGGGAAACTCCCTGAGTCCACTGAGCAGCTCTCTCTTCAGCACTATGCACTCTCACATGCAACTGTGCGGTAAACTCACACACTATAATCTATAATTCAGATCCTTTGAAAACATCATCATCGCTGCACTGTTTTAAGCCAACTGGGATCGAAGCTACAGTACAGCACGTCAATCTGGATAGAGTAGTTATCTATGTAATAGATCCACTCACCCTGAACTTATAAGGAAGCAGAAGGGAGGAGTACTTTAGGTGAAAGTTCACAATTTAATAAATTGTCTAGTTTTCGAGCTTGAATTTAGATGGAAATCTGTCGAGAAAATAAATAGCTGCTGTAAGTAAAAGAGAAATCTTGTAACCAAGGCTGTTGGCTTATGCAGAATCCAGCACATAACTTGATCACCATAAACACAAGTTACATGTTTTTACACTAGACATGCATGAACAGAATCTAATCCATTACTTAGGGTAAGCATGTGATCTATAAAACAAAACATATTTCAAGTGTCCAATCTTTTTTGGTTGAAAAATGACAAATGATTAGGAAATCATCAAAAAAACTCTAATTTAGTAAAACAAATTGCCCATAATTCCTCATGTTACGGCTAATTGATGTGAACAAAACAGATATTTGGTAGTATAAACCAGTAGTGCCAAGCATAGCAAGCCATAGTAAACAGTGGCTAAACAATATAGGTGTTTGTTCGACTGCTATCCAGATGGACTGTGTCGCCCCTATTCAAAAGCAGGTACCGTGTTGGAGAACCTCTAATCAGGATTGAGCTTAATCGTCTATATCCAGTCACAATGATTACGGTCTCTTAAGCAGGAAGACACAGCAGGTGATGCCATGTGGACGCAACATCAACACTTCTTAAGCACCAGGTCAGGACCTCAAGAGTCCAAATAAACACTACTGACATCACAGATCTGGGATTGTGTGAGTTTGTGTCCTTGTTACATACTGCCTTGGTTTTTTTAAACATGCAAAACAACCCGATGGACAATAGTTCTAAGATCTGGAATTAAAACCACTAGCAGGGACGGCATAATGGTTATATTTCAAAAATGTTAATCGTTTTAAGAATGCAGCTGTATGTATAATATATGTTGCAAAAAATCACAAACAATAGTTAGAACATAAATGTACTATTATTTATTGATAATAATGATACCTTTCCGTATTTAGTTTAGTGATGGAAGGGTCTGTGTTAATGTGTCTGCTACGTTGCAAGCCAAATAAGCCATGTGGTAGAGGGAAGACAGAAAGGACTCCATGGGGAGCTTTTTTCAGTCATACTATATGTTTAAAAAATGCTATTATGTTTATGCAAAGAGGAGTAGAGTCATGCACATAACCGTGGAATATCTTTCTATTGGTACACTTTATGCTTAAACTCCTATTCTAAAAGTCTGAGTCTGAGGTTAAGGTGAATAGGTTCAGATGTGGTTGGGATGTTTCAAGATCCTACTGGACAAAAGGGAGCCTTCAGTCACATACAGTTACAATAGCACCAGTATGCAGCACTCTGGGGAAAGGACCCTTCTCCCCACATGCTTTCAATGCCTCAAGTAAGAGTAAAATGTCACAAAACCTCAAAAACGTTCCCACATGCACTGCTACAATGAGGCTTAAAATGTCATGCCATTACTCATCAGAACCAGAATATAATGTCCTCGATAAAGCACCATTTTTATTTTAAGTTACAATGACCCTTAAAGGAATGGGAATCCCAATTATAAAAGAAACAGAATGATGAACCTTATTTTTTTAAATGGCTAGAAACCATAATATGCTAACATGTTTATATGTACAAATATGATATGTAAGCAGCACCAATTAACTCCTAATACTGTGAAACCGGTATACTGTACCTATTATTAACACTATTCTGTCTATGGGACCAACCTGAGGGCAGGATTACAACAGAAGAAGTAGAAGGAAACCAATGACTGGTATTGCAAAATAAATTGTGATTAGAAATGTCCAAGTGTCCCTGTTTCAGAACATCAACGGAGCAAATGAAAAACGTTGTAGCAGTACTGCATACTGTTATGTACTCCTTTAGCAAGGAATGTGAAATAGACCATACAAATATAATTACTAGCTCATTATAAAGTTGTCTTTGAAACACAACGTTCAGGGAACTACAGGATGATGATGTTCTTTTTTGAGAAGACTCGTTTCTATATTCGGATTAGTGAGTACTTTCTATGGCCCAATGACCAACTAGCAAACACAGTTACAGTGCCTGTGATCATGGGAAAAACACAGGTGATTTTTTCTTACTTTAACAGATGGAAAGTTGTGAGGACCTTTATGAAGTTTGATCGGGGGGGGGGGGGTTGAAACAACCACCGTCACCTGCAATAACAACAATCTGCTCTACTGTCTTTGATCATTGTCATCATGCTGCATTCCTGCAGGTTTCAGAGATTTCTTAACTGAAAATGTGCTGTGCAGGCGGGAAGTCACATTTCTCCAGCAGGGATCAATAGAGAGCATCACAAATAAAACTGTGACTATTATCCATCCTGGCGTAGGTCAAGCCAGGGAGAGCAACGCAGAGCTTTCTAGAGTAGTTTAGAGGACCGCAGTAATCCAGATATCTGTGTGCCCTGCTCTGTGATATCTGAGGGATGAGGAAAATAAAATTGAGTTTCAGACACACAATATGTCAAGCAGAACAACCAGACATCTGAAAGTGTGCTGCTGTTACTGCACATTAAGCTTAAAGCCACTCAAATAATAATGGCATCAGTCATCAGTAACATGTAAGAGGATGCAGATGGTGATGATAGTGCCCTAATTGGGTTGAAAGACATTCATGTTTGGGTTGTCACCACATCCAAGCTGCCCACAATATCACATTATCGACCAGCACTCTACAGCGGACCAAGTTTGTTGGTCTCCCCTCTCTGTTGCATAATTAAAGTAGCCAACAAAACCAGACTCAGCCGTGTCCCAGGGTTATATTACAGGGTCTTTGAGGACAGCTCTTTGGCTGAATTTACAACCACCTAATAATGCGTATCGATCAGCAGAGCGGTGTTTTTACCATTTACCTGGGTGTACGATAGCAGGGTGAAGGGATATAGATCATGTGTGGCATATGGAAGCACTGAGCAGCAATTCCCTTTAATAAAATAGCCCTAGTCTTTTTTTAAACAAATCTAACTGGACAGAGCCAGTTTATCCTGCACTGCACACATTACATCATCTAGGTAGAGCTGGGTATCACACTGTAAGTTTCAAGTACTGACAGAGTTGTGCCCATATTGGGAACTGTTAGGAAGAACTGAGAGTTGGCCCAGAATTCCTGTTCAGATCCTGTCAGGTGCTGCCTTGTGTGTAAACCATGATTTGTTAACTTTGCTGTATCTTATTTAGTCATTGAACAGTTTTACAAATGAAACATTCAAATGTCATAACAGTGTTACATTGAAGCATTTTAGATGTTTGGCTTGATTTGTAAATTACTAAAAACCTGTTTATACTCATCATATAAGTATATAACAGCAGCAGAAAGTATCACTGTTCATTGACTATTGATCTTCCAATGCGATATTTCCATAAATGATGAATGGTGCTTAGTACTAAACTCCCAAAAATTAAATATATTAGCCAAAAACATTACACGGAAATGAACAAGATAATCAAGAACCAATCATTAAAGCTAATCAAAGGAACAGCTACAGTATACACGAGCCATAGACTGATGCTATGCTTCCATTTGCAATGAACTTTGTGCTTGAAAGTGTCAGCTAATTAAAAGAGCAAGAAGAAGCAATTATCTGATTTACTCCCTACTGTCAGTATTAATGACAGGTGGCAAAAAGACTATCTGAATCCAATATTTTGGGCATCACAGTGAGGCTGGCACTCTGCTTCATCTTCTCTCGCTACATCAAGGGATAAGGCACATAAAGCTCTGCAAAGATTGCATTTAAATGGGACAGGGAGACCTTCAGGAGGATTCTTCAGGCCGAGCCAAGAAATATATCAGAAAATCAATCAGCACTGCTGATCAAAGCAACATCTATTCAAGAAAGCATGCCAGTGACAAACTACAAATTGCATCCAGCTTTCCAGCCCCCTCTGCTGTTCTTTAATTTACATGATTCGTGGCTATTTTAAACAACTGCAAAGTCACTGGCTGACCTTCATTGAAAAATGAGGCAGAGTGATATTGTGGAGCAATCCTGTAAGTGACAGAAGTTGGCTAACTTTCAATTAGTTGGCATCTCACCTTTGACAACATATATGAGTGAAATATAAAGGATTATGAGTGGAGACCATGTTCATCAATTATACTGTAATATGTGATGGGCAGCTGTCTGATGGCACGTCAGGGGAAGCCATGAAGCTCGGTTAAAAAGGTGAAAATGTCAGTGACGCATTACGTCTACATCATTTAAGTCAGTAACAGAGTTGGCTGCCTTGATGTTTTATAACTCCACCACAGCATCCCTGTTTAAGGGGTGCTTAATCCTTATAATGCACCTCTTATGTTGGGACATGCATGTTACAAAACACGGTCGTTTCATCCTGTTAGCAGCAGCTAGTCAGCGGTAGCTAGGTAGTAATGTCTGACTGGTCCTCGGTGATTCACTCGGGATGCAAATACAAAAGGATGAGATGCTGAGGTAAATGCCTGAGCGCCTGGATAAGCACAAATAAAGGACAGTGCACCTTAATTCGACATAGCGTTGTTATGACTAGTAATTGCAGTAGTACTATTGCAAATGCATTAAAAAGGGGAAGAGAAAAGCCTTACCACAGATGCAGTGTAGTGACCATGTCTTTACAGTTCTTGGCGCAGGAAACAATTGGGGGGGGTCTCCCTTCACTGATTCCCAGCTCTTCAAAGACACACGGCCTCCATTAGGGTCCGATCCGAATATGTATTTATTCTTATTGGAGAGGTGGGCTGTACGCAGACTAGAACATTATGGAAAGTCAAAAAGTGCTGTGTTTGCCCGTTTCCTTGAATGCGGGATGTGATGCTCAGCTCGGCTGCACTCTCCGGTCGCTCCTCCCTGCAGCAAGATCGGCTTTGGGCGGGAAGAAATCACCGGCATGGATCATACACTGGAGGACAGGGGCCGTGTGCAAAACATGGCGATGGAGTCAAAAAACACGGATCCGGAGTAGCTAGTTATGTGACCGAGGACACCCCATCTAGCTTGATGTAGTAATGCTTGTTATATAATTTTCCTGATGAGATAATATAATGGAGTGCAATAATGAACTCACTTAAGAAACGTAGCCAGAGGTCAGAGAATATAACGTTACTGGATTGCTCATGTTTGTACTAGTAGTTTTTTAAATGTTTTTAGATGTGGTGGAGCAAGGGGGTACTTTTAGAGATTTGTCTGTTGTCTGTGTGTCATAATCGGTCTGTTTTAATTCCAAATCAAATCTACCTTTTGGTACAAATAAATAAACTGAAACCTGAAAGGCAAAGTGCCACATGAATATGGGTACAGTTTTCCATTTGAACAATACAAAAATATTAATTAAATATGAATGATTACTGAAACTAAAAGGAAAAGATCACCCAGCCGCTTTCATCTTTTCATTATGCTCAACTCTATTCAATCTTATCAGTTACATACTTGCTAATGAAATATGCAATTAAACCAACTAACAGAGTATTGTATAATGTATTGTTGTAATATATTCTGGTTGTAACATGTATATCACTGTCAACCTTAGCTGTTTTTTTATACTGAATATTCTGTAAAGGGAAATGTATATAGATTGTTCATACGTAATTTTTTGCAGCATATTTCAGCCTCTCCACATCAATATTGTTCACAATTAACCAAAAAAAATCTGATTTATAGATATTGTATGTAGTTGTCCTTAGCTGATTACTACTGGTGTGGTATGGTTAGGAATATATAATGTATACGTCTTTTTATCTTCTTTCACGTTCTTTCTGATGCTTATGGGCTGTGTTGCCTGGCAACAGCCATGACCAGCCCACCTATAGCTAATGCAGTCAGGCGGCTGTATGTTGAACACATTGAGTTGCCGAACTTGCCGTGGGCCTGACAATTACTTACCACTTGAGCAGAAGTCCAAACAGTAAGCTGAAAATAATGAATCTACAGTTCAAATAGATAGCTAAATGAAAGTAATGGATGATTGAAATAGCTAAAGGTCCAGCTTCTGCAAGTAATCTTTTTATTATGATACTATGTCTTTTGGCTCAAATGGGTCATCTGTCAGCCAATACAGAAACCACCACATATAGAAACACACCCTGCTGATGTCAGAGTTCAGACAAGGTGACCCTAGTATCAGCATAATACACATACAAGGCCTGGAGCAGATTGTGATTGTTTGGTTCGCTTTTTTGGTTAATAATGTGTGCACTTCTGCATGGTATCCTGGAAACCTGTGCACTCCTGGGCTTTTTCCACACAGTGGGGAATACTTTGTTTACAAATGTAACATGAGAGGTGAGGTTTATGGAGAATATTTTAGGTACAAAAGTAACTTGATAGGCAGTCCATGGGAAAGGGTAACCAACTCTTTCATCTGTCTTTGTCTGTCCCAAATATGGTTGGGTAACATATTTCCTGTCTTGCTTATCCAACCTGAAAATGCTCCAGTTTAAGCTCTTCCTCAGGTCACATAACTTGCTCTGTATGGGCAGAAACTGGTGAAAATGTCTGTTAATATCTGTTTCTTGATTTGAGAATAGAGAAACATTCTTAATGTCTACTTGTTGTGCATTAAGACATTATTTGGTTTTCACATGCAAAATGTTTTATTAAAAATAGTTCAAAAAAGTCACTTCATTTAGAAGAGAAGCTACTGACTTTCTCCTCTGGTCCATAACAACATCTACTGTAGTTTATATGGGCCAAATATGATTTAGCCTGACATGGTGATCATCTCTAACTTTTACTTTGGCAAAACAACTTCTAAGTAGAATAACCTTATTTTCAAAAATGTGCTGCATTCATGATTTACATATCATCTTCAGAATCTTGTCTGACATATATAAAAAAATAAACAATATTGCTGTAATTTACTTGAGCCAGAACTATTGAAACAACCTAATTAAGCCTTGATGACATGATGATCCACACCCTGCGTTTAGCCCTATTATAAAAAAGTATTCACTTCTAGGAACAGGAAGTCAAACGTCAATGTCAAGGCACATTCATTCCTAAGAAAAATAATTATTAAGCCAACTTTGTTAATAATTAAGCAAGAACTACAAAAGAAAATCATACTGACAGTTAACTACCCTCAATGAAACACGTCACGTTGTGGTTTTACGTTGAGTAATTTGCAGGTAATTTGATAACAGAGGAATTTGAACAGCTGTCCTTCCTAAGGTCGTAACGTAAGGACGTAAGGAGTATGATGAAACTGGTCACATGACTGATGACGTTTCAGCGGGAGTAACTCCAGTGATGCACGTTGTGAATCACTTGTGACTGAGAAAGCCGGTAGAGGAGGACGAAAAGAGAGGAATTAAGTCTCACTTAGACGACTGAACACAACCAGAAAGGTACGAAGCAGATTGGTAAACTCTTTAACTGTTCTGCCTTTTATTTAACATTAGTATCTTTTTATAGGATGTACATTTGTCTTTGCCGGTAACTGTCTTGTGCAACGTGGTCTACTGCCGGTGTTAACGCTGTTTCCGGAGAGACGCCTACAGTTAGTTTTTATTCAGCAATCCTCTTTATATTTTTACTTTAATAGTGTTTATATGAACCTTTAGATCATATTTGTTTGTACATTTCGCAGTCAGTGTTTAACCTAATGATGGTATGTGAGACGATTTGACACTAGGCCTGTGAAAGTAGGATACCGTATTCAGGAGCCTCATTTCACACCCTATAAGACCTGTAAGACTTTTTTGGGATGAAATTCATTACGGATATTTCAATCGAATATAGTTAATGATGTATTTATTCAAACAAAGACTCTGGTGTTTCGGTAACTAAGTTACCTAAGTCCGTTTTGTAACAATGCCAAGGACACATCAGTTACGCAACTTTGAAGTGAACGCCCCCTTGTGGCTAAATGAGGACACAGCGCTTTATTTCTTAAGACACAGAATCAGAATACCTTTATTCGTCCCACAGAGGGGACATTTACAATCAAAATGAAAAGCAACCATGGATAATGTCAAAACAATTGCATTGCAATGGAAATAATTCAGCATTAATTGGTTATTTCTGACAATAATGTTAAGAAATGGAGTCCTAATTGTGTGTATTTTTGTTACCTTTTGTAGAAACCATGCCTGCAGATATTGCCAAAGGAAAGAAGGCGTTTGTCCAGAAGTGTGCCCAGTGCCATACTGTGGAGAATGGTGGAAAGCACAAGGTCGGGCCTAACCTTTGGGGTCTGTTTGGACGCAAAACAGGCCAGGCAGCCGGCTACTCCTATACTGATGCCAACAAAAGCAAAGGTAAATACTGTACATGTGTTTTAAACTAACTGAATATTCTAAGGAATAATGCTGTATGCCTTACACATTATTCTTACTTTGATTTCAGGCATTACCTGGGAGGACGACACCCTGATGATCTATTTGGAAAATCCCAAGAAATACATTCCAGGAACAAAGATGATCTTTGCTGGCATCAAGAAGAAGGGAGAACGCACGGATCTTGTAGCATATCTCAAGTCTGCAACTTCATAAAGAACATTTCATATGTGCAGCTTTGCTATTATTTTGTACCCTGACAAACGGGTAAAGACGAACTCACGCCGTTCTTTCAAAACCAGGCACAACCTCAAACAAGTTCTTAATGGAATTGGCATGACGGTTCACCATCTTTGTCACAGCTGTACCTCTGTTTCTGACATGATCCACGTGTGGTGGAACAAGCAATGCGTAAATCCCCTGGTTTTAACAGGTTTCATTTTTCTATCATAAATTATTAAACCATATACTGTGTGTTGAGAATGTAGGGACTGAAAGCTGTGTTTTGTTTCGTCATTGTCATCCTGATTTTCTTGATTTATTATGAAGTTGTCTTAATAATTGTTGTATGCCTTATCTGCTTCCAATTTTATGATGCCTTTTTAATGCCTTTTCTGAATTTGCAAGGTGAATAAAATTGACACTAAATGTTATTTTGTAATTTGTTTCACTTTTTGTAACTTAAGTGGTCAGTATTGGGTTTCTTAAATGGTGTGGATTTTCATTTCAGGTTTAAATTATTGTTTCAAGTGTTGGTTCAGAAATTAGAGCAATATTCTCTGTATTGACAAAGGCAGTGAGCAGAAGATGGTATTTCAAAGAGCATTTGCACGATAGAAGTTGACTTGTCTTAACAGTTATTGAGTGTTTCTGTGGGGAACTGCAGGTTTGCAAAATCTGCTATAGTAAAAAGTATTGGCTTGATGTCATTAGCTTTTAAGTATGTATGCACAAAAAGTTATTTTATAATTTGTAACTACTAAGTGGTCTGTATTGGGTTTCTGAAAAAGTGTGGATTATCATTTCAGGTCTCAATTATTCTTGTTTCAACAGAGTTGGCTCGGAAATTAGAGCAATATTCTCTGTATTTTGAAATGGGCCATGAGGAGAAGACTGTATTTTAAAGAGCATTTGAAAGAAAGTTGAAGAAGACTCTGTTGGGTTACAGATGTTGACTGTCTGACAGTTTTGCAGGTTGGCCAAATCTGCTATAGTAATAAAGTGATTTGGCTTGATGTCATTAACTAGCAAGTATTTATGCAATCCAATTTTTTCTTTTTTTAATTAAGACTCATTGTCATGACTCTTACATGTTTTCGACATTTCTTGGGAAATCTTTAATTTAAATGTATTGTTAAAAGGGATAAATTGTTGTACATGAGGCAGAAGCTAAAACTGTTCCATCCATCAGAGTTGGGCTGTGTGTCTTCAGTGTATTCCAGTCTATGCTGTGGAGTATAGCTCCCTCTAGCGTTCAGATGTCACACCTGCACACAGATTCACCAACAATTCTGTATAAAGGAATTACATTTTCTGACATCCCTTCCTGTCAATAAAATGTT